CAGTAAAATTTTTTAATTTCTCCGCATGATTAAATGCGAAAATAACCCGCAATATAGCAACCAGTTATATACTTCAGTCAAACATTGAAAAATACAGTTGTTTCCAACTAGAGATTTGTACCTAAACTCCACCGATGTTCGTTGAGCTAGCTAACCTTTACAGCCGATCGTCAAATATGCGAGTGTAAGAAGCAGACTTGGTTAACCCAACTTGCTCTATCAGGGTAGACGTTTACACGATTCCGTCTGCTAATTAGAGCAGAACTCCGTCTAGGAATGAACTCACAACGACCTCGGAAAGATTTTTTGACATAACCAAATGTAAAAAACTTAATCTGAGCCAAAAAAAGAGCTACAGCAACCTGCATCAACTATAGCAGATAAACCTTTAAAGCATTAAATATTTCTTTTCTTTGTAAGACCCCTGTACAATACATTTCCAACAAAATTCCGATCGGTTCCTTGCACCAAAACCGAGTTTGAAGTAGTGCTTTGCCCAGTAGCAACCTGCAAGCTTTAGAAACTACCTATAAGAAACTCTTATGCGGTCATGATTTTTGGCCAGAATGCTTCTGAATTAAAAGCCTTCATTCTGAGCTCGCAAAAGAACAACTTTCACACCGACGCGGGCTTCAACACCTCAGAATAAGATTCTCAGTCAGAACTCACTCGTAGAAGCTCAGTAAAGCATAGCACAGGATTCACCTAGCAAATCAATTTCACTTTAAAAAACTGCTTGTCCCGAAACAGCTCGAGTAACCTTCCGGAATTATAAAATTACATAACTTCATCATGCTGTTCAACTTTCTAAAAATACCCGAATTGCTGCAGCTTTGTACAAGCCACGACCAAAAAGTTGCGCAAGCCAACTCCGTCCCTTGCTTAAACAAGTGCCTACTACGAAAACACAACCAAATCGTTTTCTTCTGCAGCAAGCAAACTCAACGATGAAATCTTCAATAACTTTGATAAAATTTTAACGTCAGCCATAACAAGTTGGTCCTAAAACGATGCCCTTTCAAACAGTGTCTCAATTTTGACTTTCATAAAGCAAACAAAAGTGAGATGAATTTAGGCAGGGTCATTTTAGAACAATTCTGATAAGGCATTTCAAAAAATGAGGAAAATTAAACAAGAGAACAACAAGAAAGACCATACTTACTATGAGTTAATCGATAAAATAATATGAACAAGCTATAGTGAGAAGACCAACTTAAAGTTTACAAAGTACGCCATTATCACCAAACATGCAGGCGATACTCAGGTACATCTCAGTCTTTTTTTTCATGAATTTGAAAGAAATACAATAGACCAATCCAGCAGAAGCCACTTATAAGCAGAACAAACACAAAACACCTCAAAAACAAATCCAGAACTTGAAAAAAATTTACTAAACAGATTAATGCTATAAATAAATATACGACTACATAACAAACTGAATCTCTTTTTCTAAGTATGACATATCAACAGGTAACTACGCTATCCTTTCATAAAAAAGGATATAGGCTTCAGCTTCCAATACTTTTGCTTCATTAACCGCACATACTCGACTGTCACTCACATAAAACCACTCACCGTCTTCTTCCACGTTTTCACTGAAAGATAGCTAGAACTTCAAGATTAGTTGTGCAAAGAAAAATGGATTTCAAACACGACTTTCTGTACTTTTAAGACACGAAGAACAATGCTTACAAAGTAGCTAAAAATTGCAAAAAAATGAAAGTGAAATTTTCCAATTAGGCGTTATACAACAAACAATAATTTCAACCTGTCATTTATATTTTCCAGGTTTTCAATTTTAATATTTTCAGGAATCAAGTTCTTAGCTGCTTCGAAGAAAAACTTGTTTGTTGCCGGAGAACTAACACGGCTGCGAACGTATGCAACATAATGACCACCCGAAAGGTCTCCTGAGTGGGAAACAATGCCATACAACGCATAAACAACTTTCCGTGAACTTTCACTTACCCTCTGCAAGCAAAAATAAAATTCCAAAAGCACAAAAACCGACTGGCAACATAAGACGTGAAGTTACCCCAATTTAAAAAAAATTGATTTGTAAAGGCATGGAAATAAGCTACTGATGAAACGGCTTATTCAATTCAAGCAGTGAGCACCTTATCATGAGAAAGAAGTCCTGAAACAGACCTTGACTATTTTAGTACAGAAAGGTGCTATATTTAATACGAACGGAAACGCAACATGGCCACGAACTTTGCTTGTTGAAACGCGCCCATTAGGATAATGATGCTAAAACAACTAACTGAGATAACCTGATACTCTTCTAAGGAAAAAAGTTAAAGAAGTAATGTGTTTTACTGCTACACCTGACCTGCTCAAAACGTTTAAGATGTAACGTTAACACTGTAGGCGGTTCGTAAATAAAATATCGCTTTTCTGCGTCCACCGTAACTTTCTTCATTCCGTTCCTCAACTGAATCAAAGGTTAAAGAGCACTGTAGTTTAAGAACAGTAATTACGAAAAAAAGTTTAAGAAAATTCAAAAACAATAACAAAAAACTACTTTTTTGTTTTGAGGCAAACAACATTTTTCACATTCGTAAGCATTAGGATAAGAAAGCGTTTCTTTCGCAGTAAAAGCAGATAGGCACGAATATAATGACCGTTCACCACTTTCCTCCATCCCATCTCCCAAAGTCTGTAAACATTCTTCAGGGTCTTTTTCGGTAATATGCAATTTTTCTAACTCCAACTCGTTATCTGAAACTACGCTGACAATTAAGCAATATGTTTTCGCCAAAAACAACTTTTTAGCGTAAGAACAGAATCAGATCAATGAAAATTCAAATTACATACCGTTTTGATCTACTTCTTCCCCCTCTTCCACATCGCTTTCGCTGTGCACAACTGATACGCTAGCTCCACTATTAACGTCTCCTTCTGGAGTATCTCCTCGGCTAGATGAAGCACTATCCCTTCTCGATTTCCGTCTTAACCGCTAAAAAATGATGTTCTTTTTAAACTCAAAAACACATCAGTAACCGCCCACATTGAAGAACAAAAGCAGAAACAATATATACAACAAAACCGCCGCATAAGAGAGGCACGGAGATTACCTTCTTTTCAAGTGCCCTTTCTTTCTTCTTTTGATGCTTGCTAATCTCACTGGATGAAGATTTAGAAATCTTCAGCGCTCCATTCAAAAATTTAGAAGAACTAACTGAAGGAATTGGGATAGAAAGGTCAAGAAACTCCTCGTAAATACACGATAAGTGTCCACATTTCAGGCATTTGATAGCCTGCAGAAGAGTTCCACCAAAAATAGCGTCTAAAAGTGGTCTGCCGCAAGCCTTAAGCATACCCTGCAAAATATACGAGTAATTCTTGTTAAGTTATTGTAAAGGTAAAAGACAGTTAAAAAACCAAACTACCAAACAAATGTAACAGACCTTCGTTTGGTAAGATAATTCAGGATCTACAGGTTTTGAAGATGCCGCCCTGGGAATCTTCAAGTGGAGAGAAATAGCATTCTTGTACCGCTGTAGTTCCTCAGAACGTAATCCGTCCATAAGGTACCTTAAGAGCTCATGTGCATCTTGCTGAGCCCAACCGCGGAAACGAGGTGCCCTTAAGAGAAGCAAAATAGTAATGTTACTACTGCAATCAACCCACAAAAATAATAAAAAATTAAGTCTATGATAACATATAAACCATCATGCCTTCTGTCCTTGAGACTTCATAACCTATTAAAGTAGCTGTATTGTGTAAAACAAAATTCGTAGAACATCCAGAAAGATGTAGACGTTACTTTTTCGCTATCTCGCTAAAGAGCCTTGAAGGGTGTAAATCTTCGCCACCAGCGAAAGAGCGAATGAAATGAGCTAAACAGTCATTCAGCGGCCCAAAAAATTCTTCTAGTTTTAATTTTGCATGAGGCACCTAAAGAAACCAGCTAATAACGCTCTTTCAATAATTTGAAAATAGCGTATTACTCAAAAGTGGTTCGTAAAAAGCCACCATACTGCCAAGTTTTTTAATCATAGAGACAAAAAGACAAAAATAAAACCTGGACTTGTCGTTCCCCGACAGCAACTTCACCTCCACCAACTTCAACCTCTTGAAGTGTACCAACATAATTAACATAGTGGCCTAATGTATAAGTGTGCACCAAGCACTGCATAGTCGAATTAAAAAAACAAGTATTTCCAAGATTTGCCAAGCCCTGAGAAAGTCTGACTGTTATTCAAAAAAATTTTTTCCAAAAGTTACAGAAATAAACAACAAGATTTGGTTTTCAGAAAAAAGTTGAGAAACTGAAAATAAAGCAGACCTTCACAGCTGGAACTCGTTTGTAAACAACTTTTTTACCACTTGTGTCTCCAGGCAAATTACGCTCCAATTTTTTTCCCTTCATCTGATTCATTCTGGAGTTTTCCGGTTCTTGATATTCCCTTTCTTTCTTGAGATCTTTTCCATCTTCCTTCGAAGTTTCAACTTTGAAAGAACTTTTTTTGGATAATGCAGCATTACGAGCTGCATTTGCAGCGCGTTCAATGGTTTTTTGAAACGAGGTGTAATCGTTAAGGTAAGCTTTCATTGGTCCAGCAGTTTCCTCAGAAGGATCCATATCTTTATTACAAGCAATGCACCTGCCAAAGAAATAGTCGACACAGTTCAAAACTAGTTGCAACCACAGTAGAACAATTCAGTAAGCTCACTGCAAAAAAATCTGCTCACCGAAACTTCTTCGTATCTAATGAAAAAAAAAGGGTATGCTCAGATCCAGTCCGATCAGCCTGAAAATGTTTCCATGTATGTCCTTCTTTCTCGCATCCAAGAAAAGCGCAAGTGACACAAAGCCATTGCTAAAAAAATTTTAGAAATTGTCAGTTCAAAAAACCTTTAAATTCTTTCAACTGAGACGAATATATTACAGCTATTAAAACAAGGAAACAAAATCCTATATATGCAACCAGCCACTGCAATGCCAACTTTGTCAGAAACCATGAGAAAACCTTTAAAATAAAAAAATGGCTGCACAGCCGTGTTGTTCTCCCAGGAGAACGAACCAATAGCCTACGAGAAGAGGTCAATTTTTTTAACGAGAAACTTTTCTAAACGTTCTGGAAATAGTATAACCAATAGCACTAACCGCACTATTTGTAGAATTAGGGTCATTCAGCAAACATTCGTCGCATAATTCTTTAAAAGAATTCTTCCTAGCTCTTACTTTCTTTCTGAAGTCAGCTATTTTGAACAAACTTTTTTTAGTCTTATGCTTGCATACCGTTGCAATGCTATCTAAAACAATTATACAACTATAACAAATCACTCTTACTTCATAACTTGGAAGAACTAAAAATATGAAAACAAATTATGAAACAGTTTATGCAAGTTTCAATAAAAAACAATACTAACAAGCAAAAAATAATGGTTAGGAATTTTTAAGTGATTGAAAGATAAATAAAAAAAACCTTCTGTTTCTGCAAGCGTTGTTGAAGATGCCTCAACTGCTGGTTTCGCAACAATCAATTCCATCTGCCATAAGACTGAAACAATAACTCACTAAATAACCAAACTTAGCAGAAATAGAGGAGATCACAGCATACGAATCGAAAATCTTTCTGAGAATGTCACAAAATCTAAAATACTTAGAATATTTAGGTGAAAAAATTAAAAAAAAAAAAACAAAAGAAAAAAAAGAAGAAAGAAGTTTTCGTAACTGCAGCAACCAGTACATAACTGCGGACAAAAATTCGTTGCCGCTGCCTAATCTGAAACCCTCAATCTAGAAAAGGCCTTTAAAAAGAAAAAGAATGAAAGAAATAATGATCGAACGTAGAGGACTGAGGATGAAGAGGAAGCAACGCTGTAACGTTAGTGTAAACAACCTACCTGAAAGCAGTTTCAGGGCGAACTGTTCGCAAAAGTCCCTTCCCCCCTTTCCCCCTGACAAAAAAAAAATAAAAAAAAAGTAAAATAAAATACAACTTAAAAAAAAATAAATAAATTACGACATACTTTTACGAGAATCATTAAAGTCAACTGACATATATGGAAAGCAGTTACGACGATAATCCAGTAAAAAATTGCATCTAATGTGTGAAAAAATTGACTGTCACAAGCGCAGTAATAAAGACAAGATAAAAACAAATATGCACTCATCAAGCATCATTCAACTTAGGGGCTTCACTAACAATACACGCCCATACAACATAACCATTATTAGCCATCGCAGTACTGCCGATAGCTATATGGCAATCCGGTTACCTTGAAAACATACCAAAATCAGCAACTAAAACAGCACTGCAGTATCGGCACACACAACTGCATAAACTTAAAGATATTAACAACTCTCAGTTTAATGGGCGAATCAAAACTCCATTAGTTTACATATGCCACCAAATTTTTTGCAACAATTTTTTCTCATACA